GGACAGAGTGATATGCATCCTTTATTGCTGTGTAACAGTGATCCAAAATAGTGCTGTCTCTGGTGGGACACGTAATGTGCTGCTTGTATTTTGGCAGTTCACGGGAGAGATTTGATTTGTTAAAGTCTCCAAGAATGATTAAAATAGTTTTCACCTCTAATACCGACATGTCTATACCGTCCTGTTATCTGATCTATGTAATCCTTAAAAACAGGTGGAGCAAAACCATTTAAGATCTTAAAAATAAGTACCAAATCAGCAAATTTAATAAAATGTTCTCAATTTAAAATAGAAAGCTTAGTTAATATCCTACAATGGTGAAAACTGTTTGTTTTTTTATCCAAGACCTTAAGAGTTTGTTTGTAAATAATTTCAACTGGTTTAAGACATATTTGAGTCCAAGTAGTCATACAATATGAGAAATAATCATTGAATTCATGAATTGAACTGCTGCTTCGTTGATCAAACTATTTATGATAAATCTGAAATTCGCTAAATTAAATTTCACTATATTTACCACTTTTTTCACATGTTTTTTTTTTTAAAGAAAGTTGAGAATCTAATAATAATCCAAAATATTTAAATTCATGTACTACCTCAAGTTTTTGTTCCTGGACAAAAACATCTGCTTTCACATCATAGTCTGGCCTTTTAGTAAAAAAAACATACAAACAGTTTTTCTGACATTAAGATGTAAACGTGAGTTGATAAGCCATTGTGCAACTTGATTCCCAGAGTCCGTCAATTTCTGTGCAACCTGTTGTTAACTTTTTGCATGTACATACAACACAACATCATCCGCATACATTTGACAAATAACGGTAACACTTTACAATAAGGTTCATTAGTTAAACATTAGTTAATGTATTAACTAACAATGAGCAATACATTTGTTACGGGATTTACTAATCTACGCTAACGTTAGTTAATAAAAATACAGATGTTCATTGTTAGTTCATGTTAGTTCACAGTGCATTAACTAATGTCAACAAGATTTTAATAATGTATTAGTAAATGTTGAAATTAGCAAAGATTAATAAATGCTGTATAAGTGCAGTTCATTATTAGTTCATGTTAACTAATGTAGTTAATTAATTAACCTTATTGTAAAGTGTTACCATAACATCTGGACGTCATTTAACATACATTTACATGCATACTAAACAATTATGGGCCTAAAATAGAACCTTGTGGAACTCCAATATTATAATCCAAGTAATCTGATGTCACATTAATAACCCGTACACATTGTTTTCTATTTTCTAAATAAGATTTAAACCACATAATGGCCTCAGTTGAAGAATTAAAGTATAATCTCATGATTTACATGTTTCAAAAGCTTTCTTAAAATCCAGGAATACAGCACCAACTACACCTCCTTTATCCATCAAAGATTTAATATTTTCCAACATAAAACAATTTGCCATTTCTGTAGAATATTTTTTTCTAAAACTGAATTGGGTGAATTGAATAGGGTGAAGGGAAAAAGCACTATTATTAAGATATGTGATCATTTGCTCTGCTACCCATTTTTCAGCGACTCGACATTACAGGGAGAATACTTATTGGTCTATAATTACTAATTTCTGTATAACTTCCATATTTATTAACAGGGGTAATTACTCCAAATTTCCATCCAGAGGGAAAAATTCCTTGTTATCGATAACTTAATAATCTGAGTTAGAGGTCCGGTAAATAATTCTTTATGAGTTTTTAAAAAAATAGTATCCAATCCATATTTATCTTTAGCTGTTGAATTTTTAAGTGAACTAATTATTCTATCAACTTCTCTATTTGACACCTGTTTAAGAGTAAACTTGGACAAGACCCAATTCATCAACGCAATACATGGACTATCCGGACAATTAGACTTAGAACACTTATGCTCTATTATAGAAATATAAAAATTTGCTTTTGCTTTTCTAATTTCGTTTATTACTCTATTTCTTAATTTATAAAAATTTCCATCTTAGATTTTAGAAACTGTTTCAATGCGTTATCTCTTTGTTTCACAAGTGACCAGATATTTTCATTTAACCAAGGTAAGCTATTTTTCTTCCTTGGTCTACTTTTAACTTAAATAATAAAACTATTCACAGTAGATTGAATAACATCCATTAGAACATTTATATCCCTTTCAACACAATTTTGAGAAAAAAATTTCTTCCCACTTTATATTTTCTAATGCCCTTTTTAAATGATTCAAAAAAAATTTGGTATTCTAAAATTCCATGTTTTTCTATTTATAGTCTGATGGCTTCAGATCAAAGTTACTAGTTATATCTTTCAATTTCTTCCTTCCAGTTTTATCTAACCAATTTACATTTAAGTCTCCAAGTAGAATAAACTTCTTTGGTAAAATCACATAATTTAAGCTTATATAATTTATCATAAAATAATTTTTTTGCCGAAGGTGGCCGATGAACTGCTATCATTATAAAAGACATTTGTGGTGAAAGAGAAACATCTAAAACAATACATTCAATATCAAAGTTATAAGCTAACTGTAGTTCAGTACACCAAATACTATCCTTAATATAAAACATAATACCCCCACCTCTACCCACCAACCTATCCCTTCTAAAAAATTATAACCAGGAATGCACAACATTGCTGATGGTGAAGTAGCGCTCAACCATGATTCAGTCAGAAAAAAAAAATCCAAATTTGAATTTGTGACAAGATGTTTCATGTTTTCGCGAATTTTTAAATGACCACCCAACAATCCTTTTGGTTTGGCATCAATGTCCCACAGAATCCTTGCATGATTTACAGTTTTAAGAAGTTTCAATTGTCTCTGTTTGACAATTGCCGGATTTACACTGTACATAAATCTCACCTCTGAGCTCATTTGCTCAGAGGCGAAGAGGACACAATCAGCACTTTTTCCGATGGTAAAGCGTCTACATTACTCAAGTCTGTTCTTAAAGGCTGTATAGAACCCTGGTTGCTCTGCGTCACCATATCGAAGCACTCACCCGATGAGACACACCATCAACTAGTCCCTAAGCCACAGGAACAGTCGAGCCAGCTGCCTCCAAACCAATCCCCGGACGCAGAGAATCTTAAGTCGCTCCGCAACACACTGGCCAAGCACCCACCCTCCATCCGATGAGGCACATCACCAGCAACATGCGCCATGAGGCCACCCAAATCGACCATCATCGGCCCGAGATCCAGATGTATACAGTCAAATTTTCTCTGCGTCACACCCACACTCGCCTTTTATTTAGTGAGATATACCGTCAGGAGCACGCGGCATAGGGTCGCCCAAATCGGCCATCGTCGGCCCGGGACTCAAATGCACAAAATCCTGATTACTCTCAACTCTCCAGCGAGGTAATCACCCTTCACTTGTTGAGGTGCACCATCCGTAGTAAGTGCCACCAGCCAAATGAGGTATAGTCGGTCCTGGATTTAGATCTACCTTATCTCCCGAGAGTAGTAACAGAGTCAACAGGATACATCCAAACACACTCCTTGTCGTTTTATTCACGGTTTTTGGCGATTTGCCCCTTCATGCACGAGTATATTCTTATAAATTATAAGATGTATAATCCGTCTTTGGTATGGCGTTGATGTGATCAGTCTCTTCCTCCACATGGACGGCTCTGATGTATTCAAATTATCAGTCGTGATTATCAGTAGCTGCAAAAAGTACTGTATGTACTGTTAAAGTACAGACTTTAACATACAGTATATTGTTTATAACTATTTTGATATTCTGTGCTATTTAGCTGATAGTACTTCGAATTCAAGTACTACCCTCTGCCATCTTGGATCTTCTTCATCAGGCACTGATGTTGGACGAGAAGACCTGGCCTCACAATCTCTGTTACAGTTCATCCTAAAGATGGGGTTGAGGTCAGGGCTACATATGTGTGGGCCATTCAAGTTCTTCCACACCAAACTCATCCATGTCTTTATGGACCTTGCTTTGTGCACTTCGGCACTGTCAAGCCTGGTTTATACTCGCACGAGGGCAAAGGTGTGCATGGCCAAAATGACGTCATCATGGAGTGGGTGGTTGTGTTGTACAGTATTGTAACTTTGCGCATGACTATGCTTCTGAAGATGCACAGCTTCAGGGCGACTCTAACCAAACAGGCACATCTTCACTGGAATCTTTATGAATCAGAAGAAACATGAAGTAGAATAGAAACAGGGAACAGAAAAGAGCCTACCTCAAACTGTCCCCACTAAGTTGGAAGCATAGCATTGTGCAAATGTTTTGGTACAGTATGCCGAAGCATCAAGTTTCCCTTCACTGGAAATAAGGGGTCTAGGCTAAATGCTGGAAAAGAGCCCAATGTTTATGCACAACGCTCCTCAGCACATTATCCCTCTTCTACTGAACTTGCAGTTGGGCAAGGTATCCACTAAACCCAGACTCACTCATCAGACTGCCAAACAGAGAAGTGTGATTTCTCACTCCGCAGAACAGCGGAGTGAGTGTTCTCTGCTCCAGTGTCCAGAGGTGGTGTTCTTTACACCACTCTATCCAACTCTTAGCATTGTACTTGATGATGTGAGGCTTGCATACAGCTGCTCACCTACGCAAATCCATTCCATAAGCTCTTGCCACAGTTTTTCTGCTGATATTAATACCAGTGGAAGTTTGTAACTTCAGGTATGGAATCAACAGAGTGTTGGCGACTTGTATACACCATGCTCCTCATCACAACCCCGCTCTGTGATTTTAGATGGTATTTGCTTCGTGCTGCTGCTCCTAAATGCTTCACTTACAGTTGCCAATGGAATATCTAGCAGGGATGCAATTTCACGAACTGGCTTATTGCAAAGGTGGCATCCTATCACAGTACCACACTTGAATGCACTGAGCTTTTAAGAACCACCCATTTTTTTCACAGATGTTTGTAAATGCATGGCTAAGTGCCAAAGTGTCTCTTTCCCTCTGTCCGTTTTAATAAACCAGAATGTATTATTTAAAATATGTGCACTCCATTGATATGTTCTGTATAATGTTTCTCTGTCTTCAGGAGAGAAGTGTATTTCATGTAAAGGGAAATGGTTTACGCCCAGACAGTTTGAGGAGTTTGGAGGAAAAGGGCATCACAAGAAGTGGAAGGGTAGCATCTATTACAAGCCATCATATGGTCGTCAACAAGTTAAATTACTGAAACTCATACAAGTATGTATTCAGCTAGTGTGAAATCTGAGTTTATTTGACATTTTTTTATAAGCATATGTGAACTTCATCTTATTTAAATGAACTTTCCTTTTTCTCCTAGAATGGGTGCCTTTCAGAGTTTGGACAACTGAGGGAGTCAGTTAGACAGGTATTTAGTATATATAGTACCAATGCACAAGTTATGAGCCCATAGGCCATAAAACATACATGATATTCATATGTTGTAGTTCAGCCTCACAACAATGATTGTATTCTGTGGGTTATGAATCAACTTTAATATCTTTTACTTAGTTTTTTTTTTACTTTATAGATTACTTTTGAAAATTATCCATTAAGTTACTAATATCATGCTGAGATGTTTTAAAATCACTACCACTGTATTTTACCATAGGTGACGCAGACAGAGAGAGATGGTGCAAACGCAGTGCAAAATGTAACAGGAAGGAGTGAATTAATTAACTCCTTAAAAGGTTTTCCAGAGTCCTGGAAAAGACTGTTTTCCAAGACTCTGGAAATACCTGTGTGTGGAATCAAAGAGAAAACAATCCAGCCGGGTGAGTTTGAATCGACATTTTAATTTCAGATTTATTAGTTCGTGATCTCTGTCTCACTATCACACCATCTAGTGTTTATTACCTGTTCTTCAGTTCTCTGATCCCCACCATACTTCCATGAGGTTTTATTGCACATATTAAGCCAGGTTGCTGAGTCTAGATTGCCAAAGAGCTTTATCTCTCATTGTTAGTGTTTCTGTTTTTTATGTGGTCATCTACAATGACCCTAAAAAGGTTTATGGTTGTTTTCTACCACATACAGGCAGTTCTTCAGATGAGTCTGTATCTGTTGCTGAGAGAGTCAAAATGGTGAGATGTTTATTTATTGATCAATTGTAAATTATTAGTTTAATTATTATTGCATGTGTATTATCCTATTGTGGAGAGTTGAGTTTAGCGTATGATGTATCACAATATATTTTTAAGGAATATAAATGGAAATATATAAATTTATATTATTATCGACAAGATGTCATAACTCACATTGTGACAAATTCTGCTCGCATTCGGAGAGAGTCATTATATAAAAAAAACTAAAAATATAAAATTAATCCAAATAACTAACTTTATCTTTCACTTTCTCCCTCAGTTACTGAAATGTACCCAATTATTGTGCCCAAATATCCTTCATTAACAAATGAAGCATTGCTTTACTCTTATCCTTTTTTTTTTTGGCACAGAACAGGAGAGAATCTGTGATTTTAGCTGAAACTGTCAGTAAAAAGATGACAGAAACGGTAGAATCTACTGCCAGTGCTAGAGGTTAGTGAGCTCTTTTATTTTCTGTCATGTTATTTCTCTTATTTTGAACTTTATGGGTTTGCCATACCATATTTTTATTAGACTATCTTTGGTCACTTTCATATCTCTTATTTTTGCTTCTCATTAGAATAAGAATATTTATAGTTGAATAGTAACCTCTGAGCAACCTTTGAAAACTCTTACCAGTGTCTATTACTGAGTGGTACTAATATTTCTTTATTTCCTTTGGGTTTTAAAATTTCAGACTTTGTCTAATCTCTTATCTCTTTGTCCTTCCCCAAACTAAGATTCATCTGCACCTCCCACTGATGCTACAGAACCTGCATTATCTCCTGTCGTAGAGGAGGCCAATCAGACCACAGATGAAGCAGCAGCAGCTCAGCTGAACTTCAGTGATTCACCTGCTGAATGGCAGAATCCTGTTGTTTCTGAAGAGACTGAGAAGACAGGCCAGATGCAGCTATTTGAATTTCTGGCAAACCAGTTTAATACCATCAACAACACCCTAAAATCAATTGATTTGTCTTTGAAGAAGCTGGTAGAAAAACAGTCACAAAACACACTGCCTCAATACATCAGTCTAACTCCTGCTGTTATTGAAAATCCCCAGATTCACTCCTCAGTCAAAGAGGAGCAAATCATGTAAGTTTTAAATCACTGAAGTAGACTAAACTTTGACACTGAACAAATTAGGGGTAATTCTGAGAAAGCAGAACTGTGATCTGAGAGGTTATGATTAAAAATATATATCTTTACTAGATAATTATTACACAAATTTTGTTTTAATGTGCAATAGCCAAGAAAATTAACATCTTTTGGTAAAGTCTTTTGCTGTTTTTTTGCCACACATTTAAAATGTGAAAATCTCAATTTTATTTCATTTGAGTTTTTTTTGTCACATTTACCAGAAACAAAACAGCATTGAGGTTTCAATCCACTTCATGCAGTTAAAACAATTTATAAAATATAACAGAGTCATCATAAAACCATGAAAATTTTACAGTAAACTATAAAAATTTTCCCATTTTGTCTCTGGGTCAGGTTATTAACTGGCAAATGTACCTATAATCACTTTTGATCACTCATAATCAGCTTTATTAATTAGATCTCATTGCAATGTCTAAAAGATTAAAATATCCTGGGACCCTACATAGAATAAGTGGTTTGGAGGATGGATGGATAGGATATTTCTTATTTGAGGATTGCTGTACAACTACTATTTTTCCATTGCAGCAGACATTGTTTTTCTCAATATGGGGTGCAGGTTGCAGTGTTGTACAGAACCTCAGCTTTTCTGTTATTCTTTATAGACCTTTCACTGTCAGTGTCCAGGTACCTTAAAAGTAAGATGTGTCATTTCTGTGAATAGTTTTAAACAGTCCGACCACACTTTCTGATCTGCTCTGACAAACAGGTAGCCCGTCTAAACATACGCCATTGGATTATACATACAGTGGTGTGAAAAAGTGTTGGCCCCCTTCCTGATTTCTTATTTTTTTGCATGTTTGTCACACTTTAATGTTTCAGATCATCAAACAAATTTAAATATTAGTAAAAGATAGCACAAGTGAACACAACATGCAGGTTTTTATTATTAAGGGAAAACGGCTCTGTGAAAAAGTGTTTGCCCCCTAAACCTAATAACTGGTTGGGCCACCCTTAGCAGCAACAACTGCAATCAAGCGTTTGCGATAACTTGCAATGACTCTGTTACAGCACTGTGGAGGAATTTTGGTCCACTCATCTATGCAGAATTGTTGTAATTCAGCCATGTTGGAGGGTTTTTGAGCATGAACCGCCTTTTTAAGGTTATGCCACAGCATCTCAACAGGATTCAGGTCAGGACTTTGACTAGGCCACTCCAAAGTCTTCATTTTGTTTTTCTTCAGCCATTCAGAGATGGACTTGCTGGTGTGTTTTGGATCATTGTCCTGCTGCAGAACCCAAGTTCGCTTCAGCTTGAGGTCACGAACAGATGGCCGGACATTCTCCTTCAGGATTTTTTGGTAAACAGCAGAATTCATGATCCCATTTATCACAGCAAGTCTTCCAGGTCCTGAAGCAGCAAAACAGCCCCAGACCATCACACTACCACCACCATATTTTACTGTTGGTATGATGTTCTTTTTCTGAAATGCAGTGTTACTTTTACGCCAGACGTAAGGGGACACACACCTTCCAAAGAGTTCAACTTTTGTCTCGTCAGTCCACAGAGTAGTTTCCCAAAAGTCTTGGGGATCATCAAGATATTTTCTGGCAAAACTGAGACGAGCCTTTATGTTATTTTTGCTCAGCAGCGGTTTTCGTCTTGGAACTCTGCCATGCAGACCATTTGTGCCCAGTCTCTTTCTTATGGTGGAGTCATGAACACTGACCTTAACTGAGGCAAGTGAGGCCTGCAGTTCTTTGGATGTTGTTGTGGGGTCTTTTGTGACCTCTTGGATGAGTCGTCGCTGTGCTCTTGGGGTAATTTTGGTCGGCCGGCCACTCCTGGGAAGGTTCTCCACTGTTCCATGTTTTTGCCATTTGTGAATAATGGCTCCCAAAGCTTTAGAAATGGCTTTATAACCTTTTCCAGACTGATAGATCTCAATTACTTTCGTTCTCATTTGTTTCTGAATTTCTCTGGATCTCGGCATGATGTCTAGCTTTTGAGGATCTTTTGGTCTACTTCACTTTGTCAGGCAGGTCCTATTTAAGATATTTCTTGATTGCGAACAGGTGTGGCAGTAATCAGGCCTGGGTGTGGCTAGAGAAATTGAATTTGGGTGTGATAAACCACAGTTTTAACAGGGGGGCAAACACTTCTTCACACAGGGCCATGTAGTTTTGGATTTTGTTTTCCCTTAATAATAAAAACCTTAATTTAAAAACTGCATGTTGTGTTTACTTGTGTTATCTTTGACTAATAGTGAAATTAGTTTGATGATCTGAAACATTAAAGTGTGACAAACATGCAAAAAAAAAAAGAAATCAGGAAGGGGGCCAACACTTTTTCACACCACTGTACCTTCCGTTTAAAAAAAACAACAATACAGAGCCAGATATTTACACTTTGGAAATTGCCCTAAAATGGGTTATTTATAGCTAGTTGTCTTTACATATTATGGTTCAAGTCATTTTAAATAAGTAAAGAAGTAGAAGGTTTGCATCTTTTACATGTCAATCGGCCTGCAAGTGCAATTGGAGAAACTAGCCCTCATGTGTGAACTTAATTTTACTCTTCCTCATCAGATTTATATCAACTTATTTGTATAACAATATTTATCCAATAGTAGGAACATACCATACTAACTAGCGAAGTAAAATATCTTGTGGAGAAGTGCTGGTTTAAAAGGGTGGCGTGACATAATTTGTGTTTGTATTAAGTGAATCAAACCACATTTAATTAACTTAACAATATGGTTTTAATTCATTCTCTTTGTCCTTCTCCAAACAAAAGATGCACTACAGTTTGTGCTTGCAAAGATAATTTGACTGTATACGTTTTTTGTTTGTTTGTTTTGTTTAGTCATTTTGCTTCCATATTGTAAAGTAGGCTACAGTAAGATATCACGTGTTTTTGTTTTAGAAATATATTGTATCATAAAATATGCCCCGTTGCAAAAAAGTTTGAATGCAGATCAGAATGAATATATTAGAATAAAATAAATATTACCTTATTATAATAGTGTAAATGTATTATGTGCAAATATCTGTCATTCCCACTGAAGTCTCATCAGTAGGTCACGCATGCATGCGCTGATAGCTCCGAAGTAACCCTGGAACAGAAGCTGCTCCGGAGCAGGTGTGTGTGTGTGTGTGTACTTGTTTATGCGTGTGTGTGTGTGTGTGTACTTGTTTATGCTACACTGTGGGGATCAAATGTCCCCACATTGATAGTAAAACCTGAAATTTTTAACATTGTGGGGACCGGCCTGCAGGGGAAAAAAATATAAAAAAATAGTAAATGATGGTTATCTGAAAGTGTAACAATGCAAACAGGTGTTTCTGTAAGAGGTAACTTTAGGGTTGGGTTAGTGGATAGAAAATATTGTTTAGTCAGCATAAAAGTAATAGAAGTCTATGGAAAGTCCCCACAATTTATAGAAACAAACGTGTGTGTGTGTGTGTGTGTTTAATTATTTTTAAAAATAAGTTTTATGTGTGGATTGATATTACAATTGAAGTGGCTCATGAGGAATCCAGAGTTACTGTAAGAAGACAGGTGTGGTTAGGTGAAAAACAGATGTTAGGTGAACATATATGCTAATATAGCAAAATGTTTGTATTGCATCTGTCTGAGAGGCTCTAATCCGATCTCTTTTTCTGAATATTTCAATGCTTTTTCATTTCCAGTTTATTTTCTTTTATGCAAAGACAAACAGTCCAAGGAGCAAGTTTCAGTTGTGTTTCTGTGTCGTCAGAGTGTTGTTGTGATAGACGTCACTTCTGGAACACCAGAGTAGAGAATCCAGTCTGATTGGCAGCGTTTCATTTAGTTTCTCTTTAGTGTAGTGGTAGTTTGAAGTGCAGCCAGGTTCATTTCTGTGTTTTACAGGTAAGGTCATCTTTTCCTTCCATTAATTATGCACAGAGATATATATTTTATGACATAGTGAATGTTTATGATGAAAGGCATTTGTGCACATGGTCCTCTCTTAACAGTTTAATAGGAAAATTGCATGGATTTACCTGAATGGTGTAAACTGAAAGAATCATTCATTCTGTTCACAAGTGTGTATTTATTTCGCATCATACAACCAATTCTGAATATCTACAGCTAAATGATGACTGTGCTTTAGATACCCACGGGAGATGGATGGTAAATCATCTATAGATTCAGAGCAGGATTTTGACAGCTCTTCAGGATCTGACTGGATGAGTGAAATGGAAAAAAGTAAAGGAAAACAAGGAGGAAAAAGAAAGATTAGGGAACAAGATGGAAAGGAGAAAGGAACATATTCCAACAAGAAGAAAAAAGCTAGAAGTAAAAGCAGTCCAGGTAAGCATGGGTGGAGCATATATTAAAAAATTAAAATTAAAAAATCAGTTTTGATTCTTGAAGCTGTCTGTAAAACCTCAGACAATCAAAGTGTTTTTTTTATACTTCTAAAGACTACATTAATGCACATCTTTGGCGTTTTTATTTAAATAAAGGTGAAGTTAAGGTTAATTTTGCAGAGAAATGTTGACACATAATGCTGAATAAAATTTTGAACATGTCTTGTGTATGAAAGGGGTGTGATGTCTAAAAATCATAAATAAAAGACCAAGAGAAGAACGGAAAAATCAATGCAAGACTCATAGCTTTTAATTACAGAATCTTTCCTTTTTAATGCCTAGACCTGGACGAAATCTTTCAGGAGGCCAGAAATAAGACAAAACTAACTGTCCGTTGTGGAAAAAGGACTGGTCTTTTATACAAAAAAAGGTATAAGAATGGTAAGTTTTGAGATTATGAAAAAATGTTCTCACATTTTCAGAAAGAAATTTAAACGCAAATTTAGTTTTAGAAAGACATGTACTGTTTTAATTATATGCTCCTTATTCATATGTTCTTTATGATGTTTCTCTGTCTTCAGGAGGGAAGTGTATTTCATGTAAAGGGAAATGGTTTACGCCCAGTATGTTTGAGGAGCTTGGAGGAAAGGGGAATAATAAGAAGTGGAAGAGTAGCATCTATTACATGTCATCAAATGGCCTTCAGCAAGTGCAATTAGAGAAACTCATACAGGTATGTACTGTGTGCAGATGGTGTAAGGCTTGAATTTTATTTGATATTTTTCTACATTTTACTGGTCCTCATATGATTTAAGTAAATCTAATTATAATGCAAGTTATTTTTCCATCTTAGAATAGGTGTCTGCCACAGTATGGATATCTGAGGAAGTCATCTAGACAGGTATTTCAACCACTGCAAATTAATTGGCAAACGCACAAGCCTCAAAACATAAACAGTATTCACGTGTTTCATATTAAGCATGAAAATATTGATTCTAATCTATTCGGTACTTGGTTTTCTTTTTAAAGATTAATTTTAACATTAGTATACCGTTGATAAATCATTATGCAGAATTACTCCGATATGTTCATGTTTTTTTATTTATAGGTGACACAGACAGATAGATGTGGTGCAGACTCATCATCTCAGCAAAATGTGACAAGAAGGAAGACACCTAACCATACAAAATGTAAGAAAATAGCGTCTTTATTAACTCTTTAAGAGGTATTTGTTCAGTTGAACATATAGGCTATGACTTCTTTACAGTCAAAACATTTAAACCTAAAACCTGTCCTTTGTAGTTGCCCTAATGAAAAGCTAATTCTTGAATCCAGAGTTAACTATAGTATTAGTAAACCTTTATAAAATGGACTTGTTGCCTTTATTTGAACCAATATTTAATAGGCTATAAGTATCCTATAACAATTTTCGTGACATTAATAATAAATATCATTAGCCATATTTCTACAGTGTCAGTAAATGCATGTTAAATAGCCTAGGTGTGGTGCTGTGGATTAAATTGCTTATTTACAGTTTTGTACAGTTTACCTCTACACTTCAGTTTACATGGTCGGTGCTATTCAGTCTGGTTTCTGCTAGTCTCGCGTAGCCAGACCTTCAGACTGACGGCTGAAGGTCTGGAATCCATGGCAGCTTTCATTGGCCAAAGCCTGCTCATGAGGCCGTTTGACCGACAAGTCAAACAACCAATCACAGTTCGTTTCGTTTCAGCGTCACGTTTCGGTGCATGGAAATGTCGCCACAATAACAGACCGGTGTATAAAACTCTCTGACGTATTTTAAAGATTCTATGCCACAAAATTTAAATATTTCACATACTTTTGAAAATCCAGCGTTTAGTTGATCCTGATAAGTGCTCGTCGTCACAGTTGTAAACACGACGGCTTTCTTCTTTCATTAGGGGTTTTGGCGTCACGGCATCTTTGTTTCCAAATGGAACGTTAAAGAACGCGACACACACGTCTCCCGGAAATCCTGTATAATTCAACCAATCCGATGATGACTTAGAAACTCCTGAAGTGTTTCCACTTTTGTGTGCCATATGCATCAGACGTTTAGCCAACGTTCCGTGGGTGTGACGTCTGAGGCTGAGACTAGGTTTTCGCTAACTTCACCACAGAGACTTTACTGTTCAAATATAAGTGTCGTGTGTGAAATTCAAATGGGCAAGCGCTGCTTATTATCACTTCAATAGAACAGCGAAAGTGTCGAGCTGCAGTCGTTGTCAGCATTGTGCTGGTGTTCTGACGATTTGTGCTACCCACTCAGATTGTGCTTCCTCCCAGTAAAAAGATAGGTAGCACAAATCAATAGCGAAAAATGCTACCTATCAGATTGTGCTACCAGCATCTTATTCATGTAGTTTGAGGCTTTTTTAATGTTCATACCTACCCTTACCCTAAACTTACCCTTAAAACAATGTTTTACTACGCTTAATAAGCAGATTTTTTGAGGAAATAGTTTATCATTTATTGAATCAACAGCCTATCGACTAATCTAAACAATAGTTTTGGTTTGAACTATTTTTAGAGTTTAAACCGAAAAAATTGTGTTTTATAAAAGAAGTCAATGACATATTGCAACAGGTGGGATTCAGCTGACGGCACTTCCGGAGACGGCTTTCTCCAATAGTAAGTAATACAGACCCTCTAATCTCCCAATAGTAAGACAATCTCTGGAATGACGTCAAGTTGACCATTACAATATGGCCAATAGAAACAGTTGCTAATGAGGTATCTATATATACATATCTATGGGTATATCTACATTAGTAACAACAATAAATATAATAGGTTCTATTTAATGTGCAAAAGCTCAGAAAATGAATGGCATATCACTTAATAATTTACAGTTACAAACAAAATTACAACATGAAAATAGAGCAGTTTAAATAGTTTCAGTTTAAATCTTCAGTTTCATTTCTGTGTCAGTGTGTATATGAAGAAAATACAGTAGATCAAAGTCCCTGTATCCGTGTAATGAAGGGGAGGAGTTGTTCTGTTGTTCTCTCATTCCTTCCTGACAAATTCCTTTTCTAGTTTATAGTTTTCTGTTTACCATCTCATATTAGTCATATTCTGAAATTGACAGCATTCCCTAATTAAATTCTAAAATGATGTGCAAGTATGTGTTTCTCTTCATTTTTTTTATTTTTGTAAGTGATCAAGGAGAGATCACTTACACCTGCTGCAAGGTGTGGTTAGGTGGAGCAGAAGGAGATTATGCCATGTTTAAATGTAGGCATATTTACGTAAGATAGAGAGGAAATAAGGAATAGAAGTGATGAAAGCTATGACATGAAATTTAAAATAAATAAAAACAAACATAAAATAAGATGACTTCCAGGTGCCCAGATACTCTGAGTTCATAACACAGCCGATGTGGCTGGACAGAATAAAGCAGAAGTTGGAAAGTGGAGAGTATCAGACAGTAGGAGCGTTCATCTCTGACTTTCAGCTCAGTTTCAGGAAGTGCAGCATGTTCAGTAAGATAAGATTCACTGAAACATGTTACATAATAAATAAATCACCAAAAAATCAAGAGCTTGTTAAAATGAAGTTGTTTTGCAACAGATGTTGCCGAGATGATTAACTTCACAAGAGGACATGTGGTTTTTGAAATATTTATTTAATATTTTATTTGTTATTTTGTTCTCTTGCTCTCTAATGGCGCTTTTCCACTGCATGGTATGGCACGGTACGGCTCGGTACAGTTCACTTTTTGGGGGTTTTCCACTGGGTACAGTACCTGGTACCTGGTACTTTTTTTAGTACCACCTCGGTTGGGGTTCCAAACGTACCATACCGTTACCAAAACGTGACGTGTAAACTCTGCTGATCACGGATTGGCCGGAGAGAATCGTCACTACCCGCGTCACTGAACTTGCGACACAAACACAAAAGAACCGCTAGATTTAAATCAGCACAGCCAGCGAAGGATCGAACGCAACTGTTTTGAACGAGCGCACCTTTTTTTAACAACCAAAAAGTGGCTGTTCCCCCTGTTGCGGAAGAACAGACATTCCTCTCGTAGCAGAGGAGCGGATCCAGCGAGAGCTTGATGGGGCGACGCGGAATGAAAAAGTTTTTTTAGGAGTCGCAGCAGTAGAGGCGGCGCAACTATAACGAAATGTGAATAATCCCGCCCATTCTAAAGCGATACTAAACTGCAGTGGAAACGCAACCCGAGCCGAACCGAGCCGTGCCGTACCGTACCGAGCCGAGTCATACCACGCAGTGGAAAAGCGCCATTAAGGACAATGAGTTTGGCCAAATGGGTGCCAGGCTGAAGCAAATGTTTGAGTTCCAGAAAATCTTCAGGATCCAATAGCAGCTCTTTTACAAGTCTTTCAAAGATACAATCTGGGTAGCTTTGAATATTTATTAGATCTCATTATAATGTATGTAATAATTTTTCAGTCATGCAAAGAGAAGCAATTCGGAGAATGAATGGATGCTGTATATGACTTCGTTCAAGGATGCTCAAATCCGACTCATGAGATCAACTTTCCTGCAGAGTTTAGCTCTAACCCTAATCAAAAACACCTGAGCATGCTAATTAGTATCTTCAGGATCATTAGAAAATCACACAGCCATGGCCAAAAGTTTTGAGAATGAAACAAATATTAATTTTCACAAAGTCTGCTGCCTCAGTTTTTATGATGGCAATTTGCATATACTCCAGAATGTTATGAAGAGTGATCAGATGAATTGCAATTAATTGCAAATTCCCTCTTTGACATGAAAATTAACTTAATCCCAAAAACATTTCCACTGCATTTCAGCCCTGCCACAAAAGGACCAGCTGACATCATGTCAGTGATTCTCTCATTAACACAGGTGAGAGTGTTGATGAGGACGAGGCTAGAGATCACTCTGTCATGCTGATTGAGTTAGAATAACAGACTGGAAGCTTTAAAAGGAGGATGTTGCTTAAAATCCTTGTTCTTCCTCTGTTAACTCTGGTCACTTGCAAGGAAACACGTGCAGTTATCATTGCTTTGCACAAAAAAAGGATTCAAAGGCAAGGATAATGCTGCAAGTAAGATTTCATTTATCGGATCATCAAGAACTTCAAGGGGAGAGGTTCAATTGGTGTGAAGGAGGCTTCAGGGCGCCCAAGAAAGTCCTGCAAGCACCAGGACCGTCTCCTAAAGTTGATTCAGCTGTAGGATCGGGGCACCACCAGTGCAGAGCTTGCTTTGGAATGGCAGAAGGCAGGTGTGAGTGCATCTGCACGCACAGTGAGGCGAAGACTTTTGGAGGATGACCTGGTGTCAAGAAGGGCAGCAACGAACACACTTCTCTCCAGGAAAAACATCGGGGAAAGACTGATATTCTCCAGAAGGTACAAGGATTGGACTGCTGAGGACTGGGGTAAAGTCATTTTCTCTGATGAATCCCTTTCTGATTGTTTGGGGCACTCGGAATAAAGCTTGTCCGGAGAAGAAAAGGTGAGCGCTACCATCAGTACTGTTATGCCAACAGTGAAACATCCTGAAACCATTCATGTGTGGGGTTGCTTCTCAGCCAAGGGAGTGGGCTCAATCACAATTTTGCCTAAGAACACAGCCATGAATAAAGAAAGTTTATTCAGAAAGAACTTCTCCCAACCATCCAAGAACAGTTTGGTAATGAGCAATGCCTTTTCCAGCATGATGGAGCACATTGCCATAAGGCAAAAGGGATAATTAAGTGGCTTTGGGAACAAAACATCGAAATTTTGGGTCCATGGCCAGGAAATTCCCCAGACCTTAATCTCATTGAGAACTTGTGGTCAATCCTCAAGAGTGGGTGGACAATCAAAAACCCACAAATTCTGACAAACTCCAAGCATTAAATATGCAAGAATGGGCTGCCATCAGTCAGGATGTGGCCCAGAAGTTGATTGACAGCATGCCAGGGCGATTTGCAGAGGTCTTGAAAAAGAAGGGTCAATACTGCAAATATCGAGTCTTTGCATAAACTTATTGTTTAAACTTAATAAAAGCCTTTGACACTTATGCAATTCTTGCAATTATACTTCAGTATACAATATTAACATCTGACAAAAAGATCTAAAAACACAGAAGCAGCAGACTTTGTGAAAATTAATATTTGTGTCATTCTGAAAACTTTTGGCCACGGCTGTAGGTGAGTTTGATCAGGGTTGGAGCTAAACTCTGTAGCACATTAGCTCTCCAGGGCAAGATTTGAGGAAGCCTGACTTAGTCCATGAACTCAAATCAAGAGGCAGCCTGAACAAGAGTCGTAAATATCAAACATGCTTATTATTTATGACTATCTTGAGCACAACACTTTTTGAAAAGGTTTCAGAAAGACCAACCATTCTATAATGAACACAAGGACTTCATGAATGGTTTATTTGAAAGAGGATATGCAGAGCTTTGTTAGTAATCGTTAATTGCAACAAGCTTTGAAAGAGCTGCATCAAAGCAAAATTTGAAGCTCTCTTGCGCAGGTTGAAATAAAGGGGAGTTTCAACCTACTTTGTGTGGCCCATCATGGTGGATTCTGGGAGTGCTTAGTGCAAGAAGATGCACCACTTTGTTCAGTGGTGATGCAGCAAGTATTGGATGACAAATCCTTGCTTATTGTGTTCTGCGATGTGGAGGCTATTTTGAATTATCGTCCAGTAACCCAATCCCTTAGATAATTCAAACAACCTTGAGGCACTGACCCCGAACCACATTCTTCGGCTAAGAGACAATCGTATTTTAACTCCAAGACTTTTCAAATGGGATGTCTACAGTTATACATAGTAGACCTGTTTTGAAAAAGATCTTGAATTGATACAAGAGCATCAAATGTGGAATTGAAGTTTGAAGAGAGTTCAGAGATATTTTGTTTACTTTAGAACGTGTGCCCTTTCCCAGTGTCTTTCATGCAAATTACCATCTGTCCCCAAACGGTGCAAACTCCCCACGTCTAGGCCCTGATCAATGTAAATTCCAATTTTTAGTTCCTGTCTCCATTGGAAGGATGTTTGTCTTGGTATGAGTACTTATGTGTGACGTCCCAGCTTAGGCTGTGCGTGCGCCTGTGGGGTGTGTGTGTGATTTAGGTGCCACCTGGAGGGGGTGTGACTCATACTCCTGACACTCGTTGAACGCAGAGTTAATTGTGCCTGGCGTGTTGGTGCGGCGCATGATTTGGGCGATTGTCTCTGGCATAGAGTTCGACGGTCTGCGTTGTGCTGAATGTCCTGCCAGGCCCTGACTCGTTCTAATCACCCTATCTGATCTGTTCCTCCATTCATTGTAAAGAAAAAAGGCAGCCCCACCCCCAAACACACAGTATTAAACACAGTGCAGCTTTATAAGCACTATGAGCCAGATATTTGCACTCTTTTTTTGGAAGTTAATATACAAATGGTTGATGTATAGATGTCTTTGCATTTTAAGCTGGGATAAATGAAAGAAATTTAACAGAAAAAATTCTCACCTTTATGACCTAAAACATAATACATTGCAGCATTTTGTTATTTTAATAATTTGCCGTTCATTATTCTGTTGTTTTAAATTTTTACATACATTTTTACATAACTTTTTTTATGTAATTTTTTTGTGTAGGTTTTTTTGTTCTGTAACATTTTTGTATTTTGTTATGTAAATGTTGCAAAGTTGACTCATCTGGAATGCAAATAAACTTAGATGACAGGTGTGATCAGGTGAGTAAATTCAACAAAATGTTTGTATTACACATGGGGTTTCCCTTAAAGGATTGAAAATTCTGTCATCATTATATACTCATACTGAAGTTGTTCCAAGCCTTTATGAGTTTCTTTCTTCTGCTGAGAACAAAATATGATATTTTGAAGAATGTGGGTAACCAAACAGTTGCCAGTAGCCATTGACTTCTATAATATTTGTTTCCATTAATGGCAACTGTTCGTAACATTTTTCAAAATATATCTTTTTTTCTATATCAATCAAGTGAACTAAATGTGACATAACATTTGCCCCTCATTGACCCAAAGAAGAAACAACACAAGGCCATTGTCCGACCACATATCCAGTATAAACAGGCAAACCAAGAATAAAAATGACACAGGTAACTAATGCTTTAAAACTTTGAAGCAAAAGTGAATAATACACCAGTTTTTTATATATATGTATAAAATAAATGTCAAAAAGTGGAGCATCTATTGCAAACCATCAACATTGCCTTCAACAAGTTAAAATACTGAAACTCATAAAAGTATGTACGCAGCTGGTGTAAGGTCTGAATTTATTTGACATCTTTATGAACATATGAACTATTCATATGTGTCATCAAGAGAGGTATTTTGTATATACAGTACCAATGCACAAGTTATAAGCTATAAAACATAAACCATATTCATATGTTGTAGTTCTGCCTAACGACATTGACAGAAATTTGTGGGTAATGAATCAACATTAATAATTTTGACTTTTTAATTTTTTTTTATTTATTTTTTTTGCTTTATCGATTACTTCTTACAATGATCCAGTAAGTTATCATGCTGAGATGTTTTAAAATCACTTCTGATGCAGTGCAAATCTGATGAGGAGTGAATTACCCAATTTCTGTGCCCACATATCCTCCATTAACACATGAAGCATTGCTTTAATCTTATTCTTTCTGTGGAGGCACAAACCAGGAGAGAATCTGTGATTTTAGCTGAAACTGTCAGTAAAAATATCACAGAACGGTAGAATTTAATGCCAGTGGTAGAAGTTAGTGAGCTCTTTTATTTTCCCCTATATCATGTTATTTCTCTTTTTTATGAATTTTATGATTTCTTTGAAGACCTTTGGTCACTCTCACATCTTGTTTTTGCTTCTCATTAGAGTAAGAATATTTATAGATGAACAGTAACTATCTGCCTTTGAAAAGTCTTACCAGTGCCTATTACTGAATTTCTGAGTGGTACTAATATTTATGTTTTTTCTTTAGTATTTAGAAATTTCAGACTTTATCTAACCTGTTTGTATTTGTGTGATATAAACTCATCCTTGTGATTTATCTCGATCAGATTCTTTTAATTATTTCTATTTAGGATATTAATATATGAACTATTGCAATATATTCAATAGTTGCACCAAACTTTTAAGCTTTTATTAGAGAACGCAAACTTTTGATCATGTGTGGAGAAATGCTGGTTTGAAAGGATAGTGTGAATATAATTGTTTGTATTTGTATTAAGTCAGTCGAACCACAATGATACGGTTTTATTTCAGTTTAAATTTCAGTTTAATTTCTGTGTCAGTGTATCTGAGGCAAATACAGTAGATCCCCTGTAGGCGCTCTCTTGTGTAATGAAGAGGAGGAGTTTTACTAGAGTCTGTTGTTCTGGCATTCTAGTTTCTAGTTTTCTAGTTCCTCAAATACAAGTCATTCAAATTCACAAAATGACTTGTAATTTAAACAGCATTCCCAAATTAAATTCTGAATGATGTGCAAGTTGGTGTTTCTTTATTTTTAATGTTTTTTAAACAATCAAGTGGAATAGTTCCTCCGTGACGCAGCCATACCTGCTGAAAGGTGTGGTTAGGTGGAGCATGTTTTTGTATGTACGTAATAATCTGTGCGTAGAGAGAGGAAACAGACTGCAAGTCGTGAACACAGCAAGGTAAGTACACTCTTAAAAATAAAGGTGCTTCAAAAGGTTCTTCAAGCGATGCCATAGAAGAACCGTTTTTTGGTTCCACAAAGAACTATTCAGTCAAAGGTTCTTTAAAGAACCATCTCTTTCTTACCTTTTTATAATCTGAAGAACCTTTTTTCGCCCCAAAGAACCTGTTGTGAAACAGAAAGGTTCTTCAGATGTTAAAGGTTCTTTATGGAACCATTTAGACGAAAAGGTTCTTCTATGGCATCGTGAAGCACCTTTATTTTTAAGAGTGTTAATTAATTAGTAAATTCAAGTTTGATGTTGTGAATATTTTCTGGTCTGTGGTTTCTATTCTTTTCTATTAGTTTTTTTTCTATCTGTCACACAGATTTTAAAACAACAGTACAGGAGGCAACTTTCAGTTTTGTTTCAGTATGAGAGAAGCTTTCAATATTCATTCGATTGCAATCCCATTATAATATATGGAGTTTATCTATGTCTTATATGACTTGGATTTTTTTTTTTTTTGCATACAAAACAGCGTGAAGGACTCAGTTTGCTTCATGCAGCTACAATAAGAACATGATGTCAGTTTTGCAATCACAGCATTTATGTGCACTGTAAAAAGTTAATTTACTGTACAACACAGTATAGTGATTAAAAATGGATAAACAGTAACATTGCTGTAAAATTATGTAATACTAATATTTAAAAATACATTTATATTTTATTAAAATGTACATTTATTTATATGTACATTTGTTGTATTATGAATTTTAATGTTAAAATCTGTGCTTTTTACAGTGACTGTCAGTCCATTTTTGTATTTTCCCTTATATTGAGATTATTTCACTTAAATATAAACATTTCCTTTATCTGTAAACTACTGTTTATAGACATGTTCATGTTTCATTTCTCATATCATGCTCATCTTTGTACCATGTTTTTATTCATCATTACATACAGTGAACAGAAAGCAAGTTCAAAAGTGCTATGTTTAAATAAAAGTGTTTAAAAGTGCAAAGTAATGATAATTTCCTCTATGAAACACGTATAATCAATCCATATTGCTTGTTTTTCAGAAAACCACAGGACATGGAAGGAGAGTCGGACATAGACACATCGTCTGACTCAGAATCTGAATCAGAATTTGATCCTAAGAGCAGCACAGGATCTGACAGTCTGAGTGAGAATGACAGCGCAGAAGCAAAACAAGGGAAAAAAAGGAAACTGAGAAAACGTAACTGTAAACAGACAGGGCCGTCTTCCCTCTGTACACCCAAGAAGAGACAAGCCGAAGGTACAGAAGTCCCCAAGTGAGCTTTCCAAAGTAGAGTATACAAAACAATTAGATGAATTCTAAAGAGAGTTATTAACACTGCTCTGCATGTAATGTGTTCAATTTGAAGCTCCATCAATGCCCAAAAGCAGGTTTGTTTAAATTTAAATGACAACAATGGATATATTGTTCAGATAAAAAATTGTTTAATAGAACTGGTAAATTTGTTTAATAGAACAAGTCTGTGTGATATTTGACATTTGTGATATTTGTTTCAGACTCCAGCCAGTATTTGATACAAACATTTGGAAACAAAACTGAACTTCCTGTCACATGTGGAGATAAAGACGGTATCCTGCATGTGGAGAAATATATTGACAGTAAAGGTGCAAACAATTAAGGATTGCAATAATGTTTAATATAACGTGAAGAGTCACTTGTTGAAGAATTCTAGAAAACATAATTCTGGAGCATCTAGACATGTTCAAAACACTTCCTCTAAAACAAGTCCAAAAGCAAATCCAGTATTATTTCAGACAAATATTTATCTGTCTTCAGTGGAGAAGTGCATCTTAAGTGAAGACCAGTGGTTCAAGCCCAACGAGTTTGAGAGATTTGGAGGAAAAGGGAGAAACAAAAAATGGAAGACCAGCATCTTTTGTGATATTTTTCCACTCCAGAAACTCATAGAGGTGCATAAAATGGTTTAAATAATACACAATCAATGGAATTTTAACTAGCAATCAATAATGGCTAAAACGCACAATGTTTGCATTTAACAGAATCAGATTTTATGATTCAATTATTAGCCAATCTAAATATTTGAGTGTTAATTCAAGTAAAACAATAACATGTTTGTACGTCTTCCATCCATAGGCTGGACTTCTGTCATCCTTTAAGAAAAGCCGGATTCAGAATAAACAGGTGTGACTGTTTTTGTTACCAAAAAACACCAAATTACCACAAAGCATATTTTATAAAATAAAAAAATTGTGAAATCTCTGTCTGTTGCACAGATTGATTCTCCTGACTCCTCACCTGTTGCTGACAGACTCAGAAATAGAAAGATTAGATCCTGATATGATGACTTTACATTAAAAATAAATAAATAACAAATACAGCCCAGATGTTTAGGGCACAGAATCTAAGATAAACAGGGTTGTGAGAGCTTTTCCCATGTTCCCCATCACTGACATGTCTGTGTCTCTTAATTTTCAGTGTCAGAGACAGCTTTTCCCCTCCTGCTCCGGTCAGTATAACAGTGACCCATAACCAGACAATATGCTCATTAATATCAACAGTTTTCTATTTCTGTATTCTTTATTGTCTGTTTCCTCAGTGTTTGTGAATTTGTTGTAGAATCAAACAGCAGGAACGATGTTGACAATGGTGACGTTGTTGATGAGGATGATAAAGATATCATTGACATGACCATGTTTGAAGATCTAATTCTATCTGTTACCTGTGGTTCTGGCTCTGGCATCCTACACAAATGGCGCTTTGCCACAGGTATGTGAGTGGGTATATTTTAAAAATAAGTATTATTGTGTGTTGATCAGTTATGTTTTACATTTATAGCTACAGTAGCTCCAAAAAAATATTTGAACACTTTAGACAGACATAAAAATGCCTGGATGTCATTGAAAATACAAAATATCAAACTTCAAACATCACTCAAAAAGTGTTATTTATTCTTGAGAAAGTTAGCACACGCATATTTTAAGCAAAATGTGTCACAAAAATGAGGTTTGTTTAAATTGAATTGGCAAAACAATAGATATATTTTGTAGATTTAAAAAAATAAAAATAAAACATTTATTGAACTGGTAAATTTGTTAAATAGAACATGGTAATATGATGAACTCCATCAGTGGTTACTCTGGATAACTGTGTGAATTTGAGAAGAACGGATTTCATAGAGTATTTGCACTAAAAATCACCAAAAACACCAATCACCAAAAGTCCCTGAGCAAAAGTGACATACAGAGAAGCTCTGGTGGCATTTCTTGCAAGTCCCACTTGGTTTGATATTTTGTATCTACTGCAATGACATTTAGACATTTTTAAGTGTGATGTAAGTGCCCAAATACATTTTGGACTAATTCATAGCTCTAAGAGTTTCTTAAACTATGGTACAGAGCTTCAGTGTTGTTATTCCAGGGCGTTGTGGGAGATGCATAAGAACAAAAGACTTCTGGCTGACCCCTGAGGATTTCATCAGACTAAACAAGCCAGATGGAACATGGAGAAAAGACATTTTATCCAATGGGATACCTCTGGGGAAACTTATAATGGTAAAATATTGTTTTTTAAAAGAAAGATTTCACCTTGAATTTTCCGTTTGACATTCAGGAGTAGAAAATTGAAAAATATATTTAATATTTAAACACACCTTTCCACTGATTAGTCAGACAAAGATCAAACCATGCCGTCATCAGTTCAGTTCTGTGCAACAGAATAATAGTCATCTGGTACTATAGTTGTACGCATTCTAAAGCGATTATTGCAACTACATTTCATCTCTTTCTCATCAAACAACCAGACTAATGAATGTCTTGACACAAACCACACCGGGGCAGCACATAGGCAAGACTTTTTTATGTGTAGGCATAGATTCATTAACCTACGCATGCCAGAGAAATATTAGTTGTTCATTTTAGAAATATTAATGTACCTCGGAAGATACAGCAACCCCTTTGTATTGATTTAATTGTAAATATTCATCAGTCATAACTTTTATTTTACACGGCATGCTTACTTTTGGAAAAGGGATAAAGCTGTAATGGTATGATTGATATGAAAAGATGTTATGACAAACATTATTAAATTATGACATTATTTTGTATTACAGTCACAGCACATCTATTGTTTTGGTTATTATTCTGTATTATTTCATAGAATCTTCATAGAGAAGTTTATACAAATGTATCATATAACATTGTCCTATTGCATTACATTTTTACACATGTATGATTATTTGAAGTTGAATTCTTGTTTTTTTTTTTTTTTTAAATGAATGAAATCTTTTGTTAAATCAAAAAAAAAAAATTTAAGACCAAATGAATAACCAAGGATATTCACATTTTAAACTCTTTTAAATAATTTGACACTTCATTCACATACTTTTCAGAAAAGAGTTTTGGAACTGCATATGATAACCTGCGATTGTAAGATCTGTGAAGACCTGGATCAGGACCTAGTAAGACACCATCACTTACAATTACAGCCACGTCAGAACATCAACATGACAACTAAACGTCCTCTGTGAACTCTTATCCCAGCAGAATGATGACATGTGTTACGTGTGTGACTCTGAGGAAGATCTTTTGTGTTGTGACGAGTGTCCACGAGCTTTTCATTCACTCTGTCACCTACCAGCTGTACATGAAGACTCACCTGGGTGAGAGAGAAAGAAATCATGCTGGATTAGACAGACTAAACATGTGACTGTGTCATACTCTGTGTTTTGTGTGTACAGAAGCCAGTGGAGCTGCACTTTTTGTGTGATGAAGAAGATGGAAGGTTCCAATCAAAAGACCCTACAGGATGTTTTGAGCAGTCCAGTCTCTCAGTACACACTGGTGATGTTTATGTAAAACGTTTTAGTCCATACAGTGGAATTCAGAGGGGTCCAAAACAACATTTATTTCATTTTATAGACAAAAAAAATTTTATTTAACACTTACTGTCTGTTTGATTGTCTTCTAGCACTGCCAGTACCTGCTGTTACACCTGCTACACGAGAGCAAAACCAATGTAAATCTCATATTTAGGAGCTTCATCTGGCTCTTACAGCTCTTATATGTGGTGTATATGTGTGGTGTGTATGTAATATCTGAACTGCTGGTGTTCAGGTTCCAGGATTCAGTGAGAACATTTTTGGTCTGGGCAGAATGAAGCTGAAGTTGGAGAATAATGATTATCAAACAGTGCAAGAGTTTGTCACAGATATTGAACTGATTTTCAACAACTGTTGCACTTCCAGTGAAGTGAGTTTCATTTTAACCTTATGCAATGTTTACCAATGACAAGAGTCGTCACCTTTTACATTTGCCATCCTATTTTTATATACTAAGTTCTACATTTGTTTCCTCCCTCTCTCTCTCTCTCTCTTCTCTGTAGGGCAGTGACTTGAGTAGAATGACCTCAAGGCTGAAGGAAGTATTCAAGAGGGAGTTTGAAACCATCTTTAAGCTCCTATAACACCATGCTGTGGGTTGTTTGTCAATATGTCAGTACTGTTTCGCAGAGCGCACTCTTGAAGTGTTGCTATGTCCACATATTATAAGCGATGGCTACAACTCTGGTGTGTGTTCTTTAAATTGTGGAATTTGTAAATGCAGTTGTCACTACCTGAATCTTCAGGAGTTCATTCAGTTGTATAACACAGTTGTAACTCCTGTAAATGACTTAGAACATGATTAAGCACTAAAAGGTGAATTGACAAGTAAATTTAGCTGCAGTGTGTACATGGCCAAAGAAACACAATGCTGTTTTAAAAGCACAACAGAGCAAGCTATGGACACTTTCAATAAATGTTCAAATTATTGTCTTTTCTAAGCTGAGATAGAAGGAATTTCAACATCACAAATTACACACTTCACATCACTTCATCTAAGATCTGAATCTAACTGAACATAATTTTTTTTCTCACATTTATTGTTCTACTGTTTTTTCTTATTTTATTTAAACTTAAATAAACTGCTACCTTTGTATAAAAAATGTGTGCAGTAATTTGGAGAGTATTTTGATTGTTTGATTTTACATTTGGAAATTAATTATTAAACAATTACCATTAGTGTTTGTTTTTTTAAATATATTGTTGATATGTAACTTTTTTGTAGTGTACATTTTGTGTAATTGACTCATCATGAATAAAGAGTGTGTGCCAGGACAATGGTTTGAAGGGTTAAGGTGATTATGAATGAATGAATGAATGAAAGAGGCATTTTTATATAGCGCTTTCTTGTGTATTTCTGTACACCCAAAGTTCTATACAATCATGTGGGGGGTCTCTTCTCAACCACCACCAGTGTGCAGCATCCACCTGGATGATGCGACGGCAGCCACAGGACAACGGCGCCAGTGCGCTCACCACACACCAGCTACAGGTGGAGAGGAAAGAGAGTCATAGAGCCAGTCAAGTGGATGGGGATTATTAGGAGGCCATGATTGATAAGGGTCAGTGGAGGGAATTTGGCCAGGACACCGGGATTACACCCCTACTCTTTACGAGAAGTGCCATGGGATTTTTAATGACCACAGAGAGTCAGGACCTCGGTTTAACGTCTCATCCGAAGGACGGTGCTTTCTTTACAATCTGTCTATTCGTCTGTCCGTCTGTCTGTATGTACATCTAATTGTTTGTTCGATCATTCACTCAGTCTAAGACCTTTAAACTTTCACATTTCAGGTGTTTTTAAAAAAACAATTCCAAGGCTTTGGCACACCAACATTCAAAACTTGCATCAAATTTTGCTTTTCTAAATTACAGTTGCATTAATTTCCTTGAATTCCAATTCATTTGAATTCTTCCTTACTTACAGATGAGAATTGCATCTGCATTTACACCTCAAATCAAATTAATTAACTTACACACAACAATGAAAGATTGATTGTTCCACTCAAAAATTATCAGGTGGAACAGTTGATCTTCTGAAAGGTTGTTAGGTTGAGCACTAAAAGAAATAAAGGAGATTAGTGTGTGTGCCTATTTACCTGTGTGTGAAAGCGTGAGGTCACTAGAAAAACAGTTGTGGTCGTTGCAAGGTGAGTACATTCATGAGGACAGTCCAGGAAGCAACTTTCCGATTCATATCCGTCTACTGTATTACAGGTATTTTCTAACAGGCATTCTCTTGAAATGCATTCATTCTAAATATCTAGATAATGCATAAGGAGCAGAAGTAGCCAATTGGTAAGGAAAGAGGATCACATTCCAACAAGAACAAAATATCCAGATTTAAAAACAGTCCAGGTGAGCGTAAAATATTAAAATAAATATTTCATCAAAATATGACAAGAATGAAGATAGCAAACTGTAAATGGCGAAGAAAACAGTGAGTTCATTAGCTCTTTTTATAGCTGGCTGTCACTTATGAAATGCCGAGTTGTTAAAGTTTAAACTGTCATGAGCTTCATAAACCCAATTCAGTTATTCACATCACAAATGTCTAAAGTTCACCATTTATGGTATATCTGGCTCATCATCACACCATTCACTGATTGATCACCTTTTCCAAAAGTTGTTGGTTTGATTTCTGCATGGCTAGATCACTATTTCACAATATGCTTGCCACACATTTAATGCCTGGCCCTATCTGTCTCTGCTTCCAGCTATATTTGAATTTTCTTTTTTCTTTTTATAACAAACTGTTATTTTATGTTAAAATGTAAAGAGTGTTTGTTTTAACTTTAAATGAAATTTAATTTCATTTTCAAATAACTTTTTTTATATATATAAAGACTTTTGTAATAGCAAGTGATCAGGTGGGCATTAGGATGGCAGGTCTACTGAAAGGTGTGGTTAAGTGGAGCATGTGAAACGAAAGGAGATTAGACAGTGTGTGTACGTAACTGACTGCATAATAGAGCAAGAAAAATAGACAAAGTCGTGAACACAGCAAGGTGAGTACAGTAATGCAATTACTAGTAATTTCATTTTTTTATGCTCTGTTGTGTTATTTCTTTTATCATTTTTTATGACTCAAATTCTAAAATAACAATCCAGGAAGCAACTTTCAGTTTTGTTTCTGCGTCAGAGTGAGTGGCCTGCTTTCAACAAGTGTTGCTATGTCCACATATTATAAGCGATGGCTATTAAGCATACTGAAGAAAGGTACAACTCTGGAGTGTGTTTAAATACATCATTAACAACTAATTGTTCAATTCGGAATTGAACAATTGTGGAATTTGTAAATGCAGTTGTCACTACCTGAATTTTCAGGAGTTAATTCAGTTGTATAACACAGTTGTCACTCCTGTAAATGACAAGCACTAAAAGATGAATTGACAAGCACATTTAGCTGCAGTGTGTACATGGCCAAAGAAACACAATGCTGTTTTAAAAGCACAACAGAGCCAGCTATGGACACTATCAAGAAATGTCTCTTCTAAGCTGAGATAGAAGGAATTTCAACATCAAAAATTACTAACTGAACATTATTTAGTTTTTTTTTTTTTTTCACATTTATTGTTCTACTGTTTTTTTCCTTCTTTTATTTAAACTTAAATAAACTGCTACCTTTGTATAAAAAAAACTGGGTAGCAAAAACAAACGTTGTTTAAAAATTAATTTATTATGAAAGAATGCATATAATTGTATCATATTCTTAAAATGAATTATGTTATGTAAAATGACATTATATAAAGATAATTATAAACTGTACAACATGCAGTCACCAAAATATAAAAATCTTGTAATGGTTAAAATTAGTAAGGCATGATTTTATTACAGAGACTGACCACACGAATGGAAGAAATTGTAATTCATATAATAATGCAATTCAAAAATCATATGTAAAAGAAGGCATTTGACTCTCAAATTATCCGGTGAATTCAACAGCTGACATGAGCAGACAAGCATTGCATGTTTGGTCAAAGCCATTTTCAGACACACAATACTAAACATTGCAACAAAAACAATAATAACAATAATAGCAATAGTTTCGTCAATTGCATCCTTTTTGCTTAAACACGTCAGGATATTTGTCTTACTCCAACCGCACAATATTCCTATTTGCTGCAACGCACTTTAAGGACTGGTAGTCACCCGTACCTAGTGTCTGTAAAACAATCATTTTTAATATTTTCTATAAAGTGTATGCTGTATGCGACAGGGTTGTAATTGCATTACAACGAGTCACTGAAGGCTGGATGCTTGTTGTGTCTAATAAAATACCATTAATAAAATATTATTTGAGCAGAACTGTTAAATTCATAGGTGTACACATCACAAATTCAATCATTCTAAATCTGTTCTTTTTAGCAGAAGAAACAACATTAAAAACAACAACACTATGGACTTTGGATTTTTCACAGATGACAGGTTGTTTGATTTTTTCTGCCGAAATAAGACAAAGATGTCTACAATAGAAGAGCCGCTGATGTTTCTCCGACATCTCAAGGACAATAGACTCATTACAGATGAGCTCTATGTAAGCTTGAGCTTAAAATTTCAGTCCAATAATATATCACTATAGATGCAGAAAAGTTTTACATTTTTGCTTCTCTTTTTTGAAGCAAAGGCTTGAGGACACTGGTGACGATAATGGTGTGTATTGTGCCTTGGATTATATTGAAAAGCATGGAAAGAAGAATGTTAGAAAGTTCTGGCAATGTGTGGACCAGGAGCATATTTTACAGCGTTACTCTCAACTCTCTGAAGTCACTGTAGCCCTGAAGAACTGTGAGAAATCTTGCTCGTCTCCATCTGAGAGTGGTTTTATTGTAATATTTCACTGAGGTCTTCAGCATTGCTGATCTATTTTCTAATTCTAGTTTCTAATTTCTCAGCTCTTAAGAGTCAGCCAAACAGAAAAATTAGAGAAAGAGCTGAGGATCGAGGCACAGGAAAAGAAAGAGAGATTAAAAAGAGAAGGACAGAGAGCAACTCTGTGAGTGACCAAGCTGGACCATCATCGCAAAGCCCTAACAGCCAGAAGACGACAGATAAACACGTGAAGAGAGGTGAGTTCTAAATCAGATAATTGATTTACCACTCTATCTTTTTATCTGTCTGTCTCAATAATTACATTAAGTGTTGAAACCATTCTGTTTTTTATTTTAAAAAATTCTCCAGAACTTCAGAGCCCTCCAGACTCCAGTACACAAGAGTCGTTTTTCTGTCCATCCTTGCATAGAAAAGCAGGTTGCTGTTCAATTTTATACGATTAAACAACTTTTGGCATGAACACACATTTGCTGGACACTTTGTGTGCATACCCACAATTATTCATAACAAAAATGAAACATACAGTACAATCATTTGTTCATTTTAATTAAATGCTTTTCCCCCTCTTCTCCCAAAGAGGATCTCTGGAACATGCCTAAACACGCGAGATGGCTTCCTGTCACATGTGGGAACGAAAAGGCCTTATTGGACAGAGAAGCATTGAATAATAGTAAGTTATCCTCAATGTTTAAATATCTCAAAGCAGCATAACCTTCTTTCTCAAGGCATTATAACATTATAACAATAAAGAGTCCTGCATTTATTGTTTTAGTCTTCATAGTTGTTTCAAAACAGCATTTTTTTAATTTCCTTTGTGCACTTTTTTCCTGACATCTAAAATAATTAGTACCATATACAGGCATATTACTATTAGGATTATTTTAGGTGTGCATTTAATTGACACAAAGTGGGTTAAAGGAATAGTTCACCCAAAAATAAAAAACTGCTGAAAATGTACCCTCAGACCTAATGAATGTTCTTCATTGGAACAGATTTGTAGAAATTAAGCATTACATCTCTTATATTCACCAATGGATCCTCTGCAGTGAATGGGTGCCATCAGAATGAGAGTCCAACAGCTGATCACAATAATACACAAGTAATCCACATGACTCAATCAGTCGTTATGTGAAGTGAAAAGCTGTGTTTTTGAAAGAAACAAAATCATCATTTAAGATTTTTTTATTCTGACAGCACCCATTTACTGCACAGAATCCACTGGTGAGCAAATGATGTAATGCTAAATTTCTCCAAATCTGTTCTGTTGAAGAAACAAACTTGTCTATGTCTTTTAAGGCTTTAGGGTGAGTATATCTTCAACAAATATCTTTGAGTGAACAATTCCTTTAACAAAATGTATTTTCAGATGTTACAATTGCCGTAAAACCACAGTTTTTACAATGTGATCTATTGTCATTCGTGTTTTTTTTGTTGTTGTTGTTTTTGTTGTGTGTGTGTGTGTGTGTGTATTTTTTCCAACATGACTTAAACATTACATTTATTTAAAGTGCCCCTATTATGGGTTATGAAAGGTTCATATTTTGGTTTTGGGAGTCCCCAACAACAGGTTGACATGCATGCAAGGTCAAAAAAGCACTTTCATTGTCTTATAATATGCATTTATTTTACCTTATTTGCTCAATCGTTTACTGAAACGATTCGCTCAAAGATTAATTTTTCCAAACCCCTACTTTGCATGACGCTAATCTGCGGTGATTGGTCCGATTGGTCGATTTCATTTCCATTTCATCACACCTGTAATGCCTGATAAAGCAGCTTTAGTGTGTACAGCTGTTACCGGGGAAAGTGGAAAACATGTTTTTTCTGCTCCAAAAGCTGCACCTAGTGGCAAAGAATTAATTTGCATTTTCATTCAGACCAATGCGAAAATCGTACACAATAAGTGGGCGGGAAATATGCTAATGTTTCATATTGACGTCAACATGAAACGGCTTGGGATTCGTTTTAAAAATGACTCGTTTCAATGATTCAGAGTCGACTCTTTCTTTTGAGAGACTATAACTTTATACACGGTGCACTTTCAGATTTAAAACTTTGCAGGATGTTTTCATTCGCTTAGAGCTGTGTTACACACTGCATGAAAGGTCATTTTCAAAAATCCATAATTGGGGCACTTTAATATTCAAATACATTTTTCTAATTAAATGATTAAAATGATCTGACTTACACTACACATAGATTTTATTAACATATCAAAATTCAACTTTATTTTCAGGAAAGAGGGACTGCATAAAATGTGGAAGAGCAATGATCTCCCCTTATATATTTGAGAAAATAGGTGGAAAAGAATCATGCAAGTCCTGGAAAACAAGTATATTATGCCAAGGCACAACCCTCAAGAGTCTAATGGAGGTGAGAACAGGAAGAGTTGATGCTCATGTGTCTTTGTACTTGAATGCATTTTGTCCAAAATGAAACAATATATTTTCAATTCTGTGGCCTAATGGTAGTCTTTAAAACAAAACAAAAAGCTATTTCCATTGTGCTCTTTTAACCTGGGTTCTTTTCCTTTTCAGATGAATATTTTGAAGATACCTGAACTTGATGGAAAGTTTACCCTTCGCAAATGATGTCCCATGCATTATTTATTTTGCATTTTCAGTCACTTAATTAAATTATAAAAATGTGAAAGTAAAATAAAGCATTTAAAAACAATATCAATCAAAATAAAACACTTACTATATATATATATATATATATATATATATTATTATTATTATTATTTTATTATTTTTTTTTATTATTATTATTTGTTTACCTGCATGTCATGTGACCATAAACCAACATCAGAAAACTGTGAACATGAAAATGTGACACTTAATTATTAAAATATTTATTTTAAAAATTTGTGAATTTTAATGTGTAGTAAGAACTTCCAAAGACTTAAATAACTAAATAATTAATAAGCAAATAAATAAAAATGTATTTATCACTAGTTGTTGTAATGTTGAAGCACTTCTTAAACCTGAAAGGATTCTTGTAAATCCAGTGGTCAAAAGCTGTGTGGCCTCTCAATTTTCTGTGCAATTACATCCACCTGACTAATGACTGGTCTTTGTGTGATTGTCCACAAAACTGAAAGACTTTCTGAATGTATATAAGCGGTAAGCTATTTTAGGAAGGAACATTTGTAAGATGAAAAATAGGAATTAGGGAGAATCAATAAATTATGAATAATTTATTGCTATTGTGTGAATAATATGTAATCATGCAATCAATAAAAAAGTAACTGTAGTCTGATTACAAGTATTTTAAAATGTAATTTAATCTAATTACAAGTACTTGATTTTTGGAATCTGATTACGTAATCCAGATTGCATCATTACATCAGTGACTACACAGCTCTGCAAATATGTTTAGATAATAAATATTACCTAAATACAAATGCTCTTTACATTAGGTGCCCATACAGAATCTGGGCAATTGTTTCTGGCTGTTAAACATAAAAATAATTAAAACAGTCAGAAAGTGGGCATTAGATGTTTAGATGTTTACTTTTGGTAATGCTGTAGGCCTAAAAGGCTGCACTTAAGCTTGAAAAGCCTCAAAAGATCTCTGAATCACTGAATCAATGCATGTGTAATACCCTAGGCTATAAAAAAAATACAAATGTTCAAACAAAAATGTATTTAAACTAAAATTTTGCCATGTTAAATTGTGTATTAGTTTTTCAAATGCATTTCTGCGTCAACATTTTGAACGGTAGCTAGTGAATGGTTCGGTTCAAAACTCACAGAACCAAGATTGACTGTAACCCATTGCCTTTCTTGGTGCAATGAAGTAGGGGCTGTAAAACCCCACCTTCATATCGACTGGAGGGACCGGCTCTATCGCGTTCTTCACCAGTAGGACTGCTATTTCCACTCACAAGACATGAGCACCCTCTGCCTCCGCCTGAGGTGAACTGGATGCCCCTGAACTTGAGGGGACGCCAGGGTAAACTGAATCACATAGCCGAGTCTGATGGTCCGAAGGAGCCAGCGAGACGGGCTGGGGAGCGCTAGCCAGGCTCTCAAAGACCATGTAAGCAGGACCAGCAGAACCACAGACACACCTACAGTGGAGCAGCGAGGTGGAACACAGGGACCCGGGTCAAGGGGTTTCGATGATGGCCCGAAGCAGGTTCTGGGTGTGAGGTGCAACACATACCTGGTTCCACGGTTGCGCAAAGGGTACATGAGAAGGCTTGAAGTGCCCTCCAACCGCCCACTGCTGCCTGCTGGCGATAGAGGAGGATGACAGTTGTACGGTTCTGCTCCGTCCACTGCTCTCTATGCCCTCTTGGGACCCAAAGACAGAGGAAACTGCTCTTTTGTTGAGGTTTTTATGTACCGCTGGCTGTAGGGACGAAAACGCAACAAAAGATTATCTACCCGGCCCTCCTCTGGGGGAGGGAGTGGTGCGATCACCATCTCCCGAAGAGTTACTTCCTCCATCTCTTCTGTTTGCCTTGGCCTGATGAACCTGCAACAACGCCATAGCGTGTAAGGCCGAGGCTGCCTCTCCAAAGGCCACATAATCACTGCCAGTCAGACTAGACGAATGCTTACAGGCCCGGGAAGGGAGACATGGTTTGCCATGCCAGGTGGAAGTGGAGTTTGGACACAGCTGCATTGCAACCGACCGCTCCACCGGCGGGATCTCAGTATACACATTGGCTGCCCCGCCATTGAGAGTGGTGAGGGGGAAAAACTACCAGAACAGTTTCAGGAAGAAAAAGGTGCCGTCCATGAACCAGCAAGCTCTTCATGCACTTCCGGGAAGAAAGGCACCAAGAATCCAATCACCCAGCCTCAAAGGTTTAGGACACCGTGGAGGTTTCAGTGGCCTGGGCAAGCATAGCCATCATCTCAGGGTCCACCTCCGGCATCGTTATCATCCCAGAAGGTGGCAGCGCAGCAGGATCATCCTCCCCAGAGAGCTCTGGCTCGCCCACCTGCTGCGATCAACATGCAGTGGTCCAGCACATTCCTTGGGCATTTCCACAGGCTGCAGAGTGCCCGTGGGATGAGGGTCCCTGGGAGGTTGATTCCTCAGAAGGGAAGTCCTCACCATCACCCTGAGTCTGAGACCACCAATGCGACTACCAGAAGTAGTCCTCCCCTGGCTTTTGCCAGTTTGCACCCACTCAACAAAGGATTCAGTGACCCGCTGCAGTGCTGTAACACCCACTTCCTCATCTGACTTGTTCAAAACACTGAAGCTTGTTGGGGTGCAGAACGAAACAACTATCCCTTTCAAGATGTTTTTTTTAAATAATACTCTTAATAAGCTGCAAGCAGGTGTTGGTAAATGTCTTTATGGGTCATTCATTCAATTCGTTCAAACGGGTGATTCATTCATGAATTCAGGCTCTCTTTATGAATGGGCCAATCTTTGATTCACACGATTTGCTCAAAACGCGAATTCATTCAGAAACTAAACACAGACGCACAACAATTCTGCTGTGGCTTCATAGATAATATTTCTGTTGGCAAAACTGAGCAAAAACAGACAATATTGTGTTTAAAATATAACACAATATTAACTTCTTATTTATTGAACTGTTGTATAAAATCACATTGGCACTCGTTATATTCGGGACAAACTGATATTGCTCTCGCTGCTTGTGTGATATCGCTTATCATATGACATAGGCTAAATATGAGACCAATACTCATACAGGAGCCTTTTTTGCCCCAATATCTTGAATTTTAGGGCATAACTGCTTTTATGGAGTTGTTGCTCTGCATCACATTTGTCAACAGTTAACTGTATGAAATGTAAGATGATGTACAGGTCTGGGGGCGGGGTCAGTGCTTTAACTGCGGTAAAATATTTTAATCGCGTTATTTTTCATAACTAATTAAATAAGTTAACCCGTTAAACCGACAGCCCTAATTTTAATTAAAATGTTATTAAAAATATTTACATTATCCGGATGAGTCAAAGAATTATATCCTTCTGTGAATGTTTTCTGATATTATAGTTTTATTTTCCCTCAGATGCAAAGGCGCAGGAGCAAGCAGCTTTCAGTTTCGATTCTGTGAGTGTGGGAGGGGAGATATTACACCAAAGACAACTCAACATGGAGACACCCGTCCGCTTCCTGCTGTTCAAATAATGCTGAAGATGTGACAGTCTCCTTCATGAAATGACTCTCTCAGATCATTCTAGAATCCGACTGACCGATTGATCAAGCGATAAAATAGAGGAGGATGAAGAAACAAAGCTGTAAGAAGAGACCGCAGACGGGGTCGTCCTCCCATTCTACACCTAAGAAGAAACAAGTCAAGAAACAAAACTGCCCCAGTAAGTCCAGAAACTATTTTCTTTACTAATATAATGACAAAACAGTGATGAATCAAGTTCTTCGAAATAACAAGAGGCACATTTTACACTGCCAAATATGTTATTGAGAAGGTTTTTTTCTTCTTTTTGCTAACTGATTTAGATTTTACTTGTTTCAGAAACATCTTCAGGACAAAAAAACACTCAAGACAAATCTCAGCTTCCTGTTACATGTGGCTATAAAGAGGGTGTCCTGTATTTGAAGAAATATTATGATAGTAGGTGCAAAACATGTTACTACATGTTAAAGAATTTAGTAATGTTTATGAAGAGCTACACGTTTTTTGAATGTCTCAAGATTGTTATTCTGGAACATTTAGAACATCCAGATGAAACAAAGTCATTCCAGTAGTGGTTGATCATAGATCATTTTTCTGTCTTCAGAGCAGAAGTGCATCTTCAGTGAGGAACAATGGTTCAAGCCCACTGAGTTTGAGAGGTTTGGTATGAAGGAGAAGAACAAAAAGTGGAGGACCAGCATCCTTTGCAGTGGGATTCCACTCCAGAAACTCATAGAGGTGCATAAGACCGGTTT